GGCAGGGTTCCCTGTAATCTTTCCCACAGCCTAACTCGTTCCAACCTCGTGAATCGCTACCGAAAGTGCAGCTGATTAAACAGAAACGAAAAATCAAGAAAATCAATCAACTCAGAAAAAAAAAAAACCGGAAGATTCCACCATAATGGACCCAGTCCGTGTGCTCCTCACACATTCCCTCGTCCGTCACACCTTCCAAATGACAAATTTACTTAATCTCCGCTGAGAGCAGTAGATGAGTTAGCAGGCACCTTTGATCCAGCCGGTATCCTGCTAATTGTTAGTAGATGCCCCAGAAGGGGACATCGTCGAGGTTGCTGTGTCCTCAAACTTCTTCTTCAGGTCCCAGCACTCCGAAACCTGTTGCATCAGCCATTGCGGTATCCTTCGCCGCGGCGAAGATCGCCTCTTCGGCCTTTTTGGCTGCAGCCCTAGCTCGAGCCGCCTCCGCGAACTTCCCTTGCTCGAGGTGGCGTATCCATGCGAGCTGCTCTTTTGTCACCGGCCCAGACTTTCTGGGTCTGACTTTGCAGTCCCGAGAATCCGATCGGTGGGGTCCCCCACAGTTGCGACACTTAGTGAGGGCCTTGCACTCGGCTTCCGAGTGCATATTGGAGCCGCAGTTCCAGCAGGCTGGAGCGCGGGAGCAACCACGAGTGGCATGGAATCCCAAACAGCGTTTACACTGTTCAATTTGTCGACGAGGCTTGTGAATGGTTGCCATACCAGACTCGTCAAAGATGCGGAAGCCCGCACGAGGGGCGTTGTCCCGCGTGAAAAGGGCATGCCAGTTCTGATACGGTGCCCCAGGTCGACATGTCCCATGAGGTCGGACCTGGATTGGTATCGCGCCGGTCGTACCGAGAATCTTGGCAGAGACCCAGCTTGCATCGACCGCCCGGGTACCACACACTGTAACTATACTTACAGGTACGTTTGGTATCTGTAAGGCGACAAGATCCGAAGATGCCTCGAGTTTGGCGTTTTCACTAGCCAGCTTCGAAGAGTCATCTAGCATCTCTTGTCGTGTTTTTTCGTCCTTTGCTAGCATAGCAAAGCCGGTCCTCACTCGGTGGAGTGAGGTTATTTCTTGGTTAAAGTAGCTGAATGTATACTCTAACTTAGTTCTCACGCTGCGTGTGGACAGTTTTCGCCACGGGTGGTCCTTTTCAAGGCGAAGGAACAGTCGCTTGTCGACTTTCGCCTTGGGGTTTTCTTTTTGGTGGGCTTTGGCCGCAGGTCGCGGCACAGCCTTCACAGTTGGGCCTGCTTTTTGTTGCAGTCCGTTTCTGGCCACCGTGGCCCAGGTGCTTTTGATAGGCAGAGCTGGGACGGTGTGTATTGTTCGTGTCCTGGCGTCGGGAGCCCTTGGGAGAGGGTTTGTCGGGCGAGGAGGAAGGACGGGTGGCGTAATGGCCGGGCCCGTGGCTATGTATTGCGCAATGGCGGCGCGTAGGTAGACTCTCATGGAGTCTACGAATTGTCTATTTGACCCGTTGGTCAAAGGGAGGAGGGTGGCTTCGACGCCAGAGATGGCGGCGGAGCAGAGGGCCAAATTTGCCGCTATTTCGGCTGCGCATCGTTGTTCAGCTTCGACTATTGACCGAAGCTTGAGGGGACACTCTGCTTTCGTGGCAGCTTTGGGCTGCGACGTTGATGTTGACGCTGCTATGGGTGCAGCGTTTTCCGACGGTTTTGAGGTGGCCAGAGGAGGTGTGGACGATTCTCCAATCCCGCGGGGGACGGAGGGTGGTTGAGGAATTTCCCCAACAATTTCGACTGACCCGATCATGTCAGTATCGGGCTCAGTGATGGCGGGGACGGCTTTTTCCTTCCCTTTGATGGAGACCTTGCTCATCTCCGCGCATTTCGGAAACTTGGCAAGGCCAGGTAATTGCTCGAGAGCCCTCGAGTGGACTCTCGTGTTGTCCAACTTGGCGTTGGGACGCTTTTTTCGAACAGGTGGCATGGTGAAAATGCCAGTGACTCGATCACAATTTTTTGATAGAATGCGACGAGCGCGTGAGGGAGGGAGACGGGAAAAAGGTGAAGATTCGAAAATTCGAATTTCAAAAAATTGGTTGTGTTGTGAGCTAGCATGACGTTAATATAAATAAATAAATACTTGAATCAATTCGCTCTACAACCTGATTGACTGAGGGCTCATTATTTCCTTAATATGATCAAAAATTTATATGATTCTTCCCTCCGTACCGTGAGCCGATCAACAGCATACAATGTGCTAGGTCGGGTTTCCATCAATTAGGATCCACAAGATGAAGACGATACAAACCGCTAAAGCGATCGGAAATCCTCTTCAAATTAAGTGGGAGACTATTTTCAACACCTGTCAGTGGTGTCCCTTATGAACCTCCGCATCTCACTGTAGAGTCTGCAGAGCTGAGATTGAGTAACAAAGTCCCCACTTCGGCGAGGATTCCCAATCGCTTTCGCGGTCTGTATCGTCTTCACCTCTCAACACATTCCCCTATCACCACTATCATGAAGCTTACCACAATCAGATTAGATTGTAGGGTCGGAGCCCTACTCGTCACCAACCCTTGATCAAGGAGAAAAAGCCATCCGATGAGTTTCCGGAGCGTACCCAGCACCCGATACGGAGATGGCGGATTGGATCAAGTCGGCCTCGAATGTTACAAAAAAGAGAGATATAGATGAATATGGACACCTCATGTGGTCCCGGTGTCAAGGCCTAGCCTGGCTGGGGCTGCAGGTTTTTTTGAGACTTTTTCCCGCGCACGTAGCTTCCATTGCTACCATTTTTAATTTTTTTGGGCAGAATATTCCGTGGAAAAGGTAGCCGAATTCCACGGGTAAACACTGAGCTGAATGGCTATTCATCAAGGGGAATATATCAATGATCTTTCAAGTAACAAAAGAGGATAGGAGCACTGTACAAGGTGTTGCCTGAGTCAGAGAGTAGCCCAATGTGCCACTTGGTCTATGACTCAAGTAGCACAATAAAAACACACGTACACACAAACTCGTCTTGGTAATTAAGGCTTGCATTTATATTCTTATGTCAAGGAAACTTGGATAAGAGAATGAATGGAGGCTAAGACCTCTTTTTTTTTGCATCAGATTTTAATTGCGTATGCAGCTATCTAGCTATGACACAATATCAGAGAAAAGTACAGAAAAGATGACTCAGTTTATAATAGGAGCACTCATGCCTCGGATTGCATTTGCAAGTACCACTGCGAAGTTATGGTGGCTTTTTCTTCACCCAAGTCAACCCTCATCCGTGAATACCCACTCAGGGGAACGTCTCAAAAACCCTGAGTTATCCAGACATGCCTCTGTCATCCATCAAATTTTCTCCGCGCGGAATGTAATCTGAGATGTCTCCTTCCCAAGTGGAGAAGTGCTCAGGCTACTCAAACTATACCAGAGAACATCACCAGGAGGCGGATCACAACACCTTCCATCGTTTGCTTGTTTTTATAGTGTCAGCTGCACTCTCGCAAGCGAAGTCTTGGCGCCCACAAAGCTCAATTCGTAAAACTCCTTGTCCAAATTCGGAATTTCACGCCCGTCGATGTTATATCCTTCATTTGCATCATCTTGTGTACATGCCTGATTCTTCTTACGTCCATCCCAAAGAACTGTCTCCCAGATTAGTGCGCCACGCTTTGCTTCCTCCGTCGAGTGCAAATATCGGCGTGGGTGTGTATTTGGCGACCATCTGATGCCAGAGAAGGTCGACGAGAGGTGTGGTCATTGAAACGAGGATGTACTAGGTCGTACTTGTAGACTTGATGAAGCTTAGTTGAGAATCGGACTCTTTGGGAGTGAAAGATTGACATGGTGGAGTAATTTTATTCATTGCCTCGTGGGCCAACTTCTTTCATATTGCGAAGTTTGACTGAACTTGGCCCTGGGAGAATATTTTACTCCCGGGTTCGTAGAGAGCACCACTGACAGGTTTTCAGTTTGTCCCTCCTTCAAGAGACATTATTTGCCGGAATAGAGGATGAATTGATAGTGGTGTTGATGATGAAAGGTTGTGCAGTCAAAAATGTTGTTGCAAATATGTCTCTCTAAGCGATTGTTAGAACAAGATGATTGGACCATACTTCATGGCAAGCGGGGTAATAAGGAGAGACATACTAACCTATTACGAGCTACCCCAGATGCGCCTACAGGGCTAACCCATTAAACAGCCCAGTTTCAAAATTAACCTTTCCGTTCCTAGAGGCTCTATATTTACATATGTTACCCCTGCTTGCTTAATTAGTCGACAAACTAGACAAACTAGACTCGGGCCTGCATGAAATCTAAATCAATCAAATCAATATGAACAGGGTTCGAACCACAGTTATTTTGTCAATTGCACAATTAGCTTCTTTAGGAGACTGTACATAATATAAACCGTGGCCATAGCTCAGACTCCATTAATAAACTGATTAGTAACATCATTGCGCATAATACGTCTCGCTTGTTTTTCAGTAAGTATCATGTGATGTAACTTTTATAAAAGTTACAATTTCCTACCCGTTCGCGCTTCACAATCATATCGGCTACTCGTAACATTATCCATTACCACCCACCTCGCCCATTCACACAACATGGAACTTCTTACAGAATTATTTGATAATATAACCTCTACATTGTTAACCTCTGCATTTGATGAGTTTCGTAGCAACATAGACATCGGCACTAACCCAATGATTGTTAAGTTTCACTCGTATTTAAACTTCAATACTAATGGGAAAGTCATATGCAATTTGATAAACAAGTTATTATTCCATTCTAATCACATGATCCATCACGTATCGATAGAAATACTAAGGGAACAGCTCAAAGTTGTACAAAACATGATACAAGACGACGAAATGGCTGTCACTGATTTTGAAGATTTAATCGCATCGGCAGATAAATCCTTTAGTGATGACGATATTTTGTCGAACGTTATTAATATCGCAAACGAGTATACCATAGTAGAAGAAGAAACTGCCACTATTCAAACAACTTCGCTTATGCCAATTCAACACTCGACTGTCACTAAATTAAGAAGCGCTGCTGAATCAGAAAATTACGACAAAACCACAGTATCACTTACAGAAGCGCTCAAATCGGAGCTTTCAGGCAAGATGTTCAGGGATGTCGATAAGTTCTGGGACGTACATTTTGAAGAAAAAACCTGGTCCAGTCTGACAAAAAGTATCTGGGAAAGCTATCGCGACAATGGTCAATGTGGACCAAAGAACGAGTTCACGTGTGATATGAGCGAAAAAGCCATAAGAAGCTGGCTTGACGCATTTCGAGATCGTTACCTGAATCAATTATTGCAGATAACAGAAATAACAGGAAATCTTCAACCTGCCGGAGAAAGGAATTGTACTGGTCCACTTGTTCGGGGTAAATTTTGCCATATTGAAGAGAAAGACCAATTTGATGGAGGACTAAGTGTAAGGCAAGTAGACTTCTTCATCGAAAGTGTTGAGATCCCAGATTGTCATGTGCACAAATGGAGAGATGTAAGAGCCGTCGGTGAGGTAACCTCGTCGGAGAAAAAAGTGGCTGTGAAGATCAACCAGATGATAAGATACGTCCGCGAAATTTTTTATGCGCAGCCGTTGCGTCGATTCGTACATGGGTTCTGCTTGCACGAAAAGCACGTCGAGTTCTGGATTATTGATCGAGCAGGCGCTTACAGCTCGGGCCAAATAGACGTGATGAAAGATCAAGAAAAGCTAGTCCGTGGTCTGGCGTCGTATATGCTCATGAGCGACGAAGAACTCGGGCTAGATCCAGTCACAAGCTACGATGATGCCAACCGATGTTTCATGACCATCTTGGATAAAAACAAAGCTCCTGAAAAACTCGAGGTATTTGCTAAGCCTCTTGCTCGACCGGAGACGATAGTCTCGCGAGGAAGCACGTGCTTCAAGACGATAGACAATGAGTACCTCATCAAGTTTTCCTGGGGCTCCGGTGCAAAAGAAAATGAAATACAGTTTCTTAATCGTGCTAAACAGATACCTGACGTAATTCAGATGGAGAATTCAGGGAAGCTCTACGAAATTGAAACACACCGAAAAAGTTTTCAATTTCCTGATGATAAAATATGGGTCTTCAATGCCATAGACCAAACTCTCTCCCCCGGAAAATTCGATATAACTTTTAGTGATGAGCCTTACATGAAACGTACACTGACATTTGTCAAACTGACGCCGGTCGGCCGCCCACTTCATACATCGGTAACGGTCCGGGAGTTTGTGCGTGGTATACGTGATGCGATAATTGGGCTCCGTAACTTGCATGAAAAAAATATCGTACACGGTGACGTTTCGGCAGGCAATATCATTTTAACTAGACCGGATCAAAGAGGTGTAACGAATGGAATTCTCATTGATCTAGACATGTCCTCGTTACGTGAGAATGAAAACGAGAAGGACCTGCCTAGATCTATAACTGGTACCACAAGATATATGGCGTTGGAGCTTTTGCAAGCTATTGCACAGAAACAAACAAGCCTTAAGCAAACCTACCGTCATGACCTTGAATCGTGTTTCTACGTCCTCATAGTCGGATGTGTGAGCCACGGTGCTAAATCGATCCCAAAGCATATTGAAAAATGGTCTTCAAACGATTCAGATACTTGCGTTCAATCAAAAGAATATGATCTCAAATATTTCGAATTTCGAATTATTAACGCATTCTTGCCTCAGTTTGAAGGTGTCAAGGAACTGGCTTGGAATCTTCGTAGAATTCTGTTTGGAGAGAAAGGTCTTGAATTCGGGTCGCCAATGGATCCTAACATTCTTTATGATCCTATCATAAAAGCTTTTGATGGTACTATTGAGAAACTTGAAGGTAAGATATTTTTACCACAGATTTTTTAATGTGAAGTTTTTAATGCTCTCAGCTAACAAAATTTATTATTTACAACAGTTTATGTCTTAGATAAGAAGAACAACGATGATATTCAGACAGGAAGGCGCGGTAACTTGCTAGTCAGGAAGAACTCACGGAAAGTGGCGGGACGGAAGAAATAGATACAAGACGTTGCCAGATATCTTTATTTTTAATACTCAAAATGAAAGGAATTGTATTGAGTCGTAAAATAGCGAATTGGAATGCAACTAATGACTAAATGTCTTTGTTCCCTCCGAACTTCGAAGGACAAAGATATAAATTGATCATTTTATTACCATGCCGAGCACAAGTCTAGCGTTCAAATAGTATGACATGGAGAAGGTGCAAATGGCGTTGCGAAACGTGACATGGGCGGGTGGAAATGCTATGGCCATGAATGAATGCCAATATCGGTGGTACACCTGAATATATGAGTACATGAATTTAAATCTTACAGCAACTTGGCTAACAATGTCGAGGATACATGACTCTAATGCGCAATACTACACACCGAAGGAACGCAGCTGTAAGTAAACAGTAATCAACACTTAAACGCAGCAATGTACAATAGATTCTGCAAATATAAGCGGAACAAACCAAAGGAGCAGATATCGACGAGATTGTAGAGGAAGGTAACTGTCGGAATACTTAGGTGATGATTTATATCACAAGCTTGATGTAGCAGTAATAATTATTGTATGTATAAAAAATGATTTCTCCCCGTGTCTTCCTAGAAGGAAGCATCTATAAACCGTAAAACCCCCTGTCTCCTAACGCCATTTCCAAACGGGTACCTCATTACTCATCAACACAATTAGTCATTAGTTCAAAGGAAATACATATTGATCATTGGATCGTTATGTCATAAAACAGTAACCATTTAACAACGAAGAGTAAGCATGAAGAATAAACGTGAGAGTATCTGTGAATATGAAATGAATGCCATGACAGATACGCCATAACCCATTAACTGCGGACAAGCCGATCTTTCGAAATAGCACAATATTAAAAAGAAACCAACTAGCCATGAAAAATTTATGCTTGTGGTGGCCAAGATTGTGCAACGTTTAATCATATGTGGCATTTAGGCGCGGGAAAGTTTTAATATTGTTTTCACTTTTTCTCTAGGCGACAGGTCACATCTTGCCCAATTTATACATGCTATCCGGCAAGGCTCTGGACATTAAGTCAGGACGGGTTCTGGCAGCTAAACCTGACCGAGCCCGGCCCTATTCGTACGATACTTTTGTAGAGGCTAAATCTACATAACAATACAAAAATAAAAATATATATTACTAGTTCTTGACATAAGGCAGGTCTTCCTCAATAATTATATTCGATGATAACCCTGCAGTTAGCAACTGCAGATTCCGAAACTTGGAGAGCAGCCACAATTTACCAAATTAGAGAGTCTGAACGGCAAAAACTGAGTTTTCAAGGCTCACCATTCTTCCTACACCGTAACCTCACAAGGGCCCAAAGCAGTTTGGCAATGCAAATACGAAGTGAGCACATGGGGCTTAACTCGTATTTACACAGAAGAAACGTACCCGGAGTATTAAGTCCAGGTTGTCCATGCGGCTACCAATCACAGAACCCAAAGCACATGATTATGTCCTGCCCCCAATGGTCAAATGGTAGAGCTGAGATCTGGAGACAAGCCAAAGATCGACCCTATGAAGCGATGTTAAATAATCCTGGAGATATAAAAAGGATAACACAGTGGATCCTAAACCATGGTTGGATAGAGCAATTCCAGATGACAAAAGCGGTCGAAATACTGCTGAGGGAAAGGAAAAGGTCAAATAATGCTGGGGGAGGATAGAGATGATCTGGTTAGTTTACATGGATGGCACTATAGTGTAACTGCGCTTCCTGAAGAAAATATGTGAGGACTATAGACAACAAATAGAAAGGTGTGGGAGGTTTTCACCATAAAGGTTTCCTCCCGGGTAAATATTATAGACTGTAGACACCTGCATGGGCCCATAGGGCGCCAAATCAGGATAATGAAATCAAATTCAAGATGATAACCCTGTTTGACATATAGTCCTCTCATGTAATGGGTCCATTTGCTCATACCATTCAAGACTGTCAGACCAGTATCAGAACCCGGTGTAATTCGTATTCCTGAATTGATGTTTCGTGATTCATGTAAATTCCATTCTTCTAACATGATCGTAACATTATTGTCAGAATAATATGCCAAGCTGGTACCTGACATAATTTGTGATTGCCTCAGGAAATCCTTGGCGTTTTGGATAATTTTCAGCTAGAAAATACTTGGCGTCCGTGTAACAGACGTGGTGGACTGGGATTGAGTCGGTTTAGGATTACATCTTGGCTACAACATGTTTGGATTGTATCCTGTGATGTAAATAAGCTATTTCTAGATATTATAATCATACGTTAGGTAGTAGATATGTGTAGATATATAAGCTAAGAGAAAGAGGAAGAAAGACAGACAGACAGACAATTACATCTTTTTATTTCACTTCAATTAAAAGCTCCTGTGCGAGCTATTCTTCCAGATACCTCTAGTCTCAATCATTACAGCTTCCGAACCAGCTCAAAAGGTTCGACAGAGACCTTTATACAAGGGGCTTTCACCCTTCCCCCAACCTTTAATATCCACCAAAGGTAAAACAGCAAAATCCTTAGCTACCCTAACACGCCTTTTCCATCATGTATTTAGCCAACGCGAGAGATATTGTCTCACAGTTCCCCCTTTATCGAGTTAAGTACGTCTGCAGGCTACCCAGACTTTAATTCGGGGGGGTGACAACAATGAGGCGTACCACAACATCTCCAATCGGTGTCAATTTTAAGGTGTTGGTATCACAGGTAACGATTGGATCCAATTAAGAGGTCTGATGTCAGTATACGTGAATGATGTCTATTCTTTCTATCTAGGAGATGGCGATGCTGTATCTATATGATTACATAATTGAACTGTAATTACATGTGATTATGCCAGTTCTACAGATATACTTCAAAGGTGTCAGTCACGCTATCAGAAAAAGTTGCCTCGGCGCTCAGAGGAGCCCTCAAGTCGAAAACACTCGAAGTATGTGAGTCCCAGTATGCCCAATATGCCCATTTGTGACCATATCACTCGTTCGTCCCATGTCCCAGCAGTCTCCGTAGATAAAAAAAGGTTCTTAGCTAGCAAAAATAATTTATGGGTCAAGATGATGAGGCAAATAAGAAAAGCAGTAAGAGGTTAAGATAATTGGTTTGCGACCGCCCTATACTTCACCTTGGAGGGCAAGAATGAACACCTGTACGCGGTGTCATCTATGAACCTGGGAGTGAAATATTCTCCCCCAGCCAAGTTCAGTCAAATTTCGCAATATGAAAGAAGTTGGCCCACGAGGCAATGAATAAAATTACTCCACCATGTCAATCTTTCACTCCCAAAGAGTCCGATTCTCAACTAAGCTTCATCAAGTCTACAAGTACGACCTAGTACATCCTCGTTTCAATGACCACACCTCTCGTCGACCTTCTCTGGCATCAGATGGTCGCCAAATACACACCCACGCCGATATTTGCACTCGACGGAGGAAGCAAAGCGTGGCGCACTAATCTGGGAGACAGTTCTTTGGGATGGACGTAAGAAGAATCAGGCATGTACACAAGATGATGCAAATGAAGGATATAACATCGACGGGCGTGAAATTCCGAATTTGGACAAGGAGTTTTACGAATTGAGCTTTGTGGGCGCCAAGACTTCGCTTGCGAGAGTGCAGCTGACACTATAAAAACAAGCAAACGATGGAAGGTGTTGTGATCCGCCTCCTGGTGATGTTCTCTGGTATAGTTTGAGTAGCCTGAGCACTTCTCCACTTGGGAAGGAGACATCTCAGATTACATTCCGCGCGGAGAAAATTTGATGGATGACAGAGGCATGTCTGGATAACTCAGGGTTTTTGAGACGTTCCCCTGAGTGGGTATTCACGGATGAGGGTTGACTTGGGTGAAGAAAAAGCCACCATAACTTCGCAGTGGTACTTGCAAATGCAATCCGAGGCATGAGTGCTCCTATTATAAACTGAGTCATCTTTTCTGTACTTTTCTCTGATATTGTGTCATAGCTAGATAGCTGCATACGCAATTAAAATCTGATGCAAAAAAAAAGAGGTCTTAGCCTCCATTCATTCTCTTATCCAAGTTTCCTTGACATAAGAATATAAATGCAAGCCTTAATTACCAAGACGAGTTTGTGTGTACGTGTGTTTTTATTGTGCTACTTGAGTCATAGACCAAGTGGCACATTGGGCTACTCTCTGACTCAGGCAACACCTTGTACAGTGCTCCTATCCTCTTTTGTTACTTGAAAGATCATTGATATATTCCCCTTGATGAATAGCCATTCAGCTCAGTGTTTACCCGTGGAATTCGGCTACCTTTTCCACGGAATATTCTGCCCAAAAAAATTAAAAATGGTAGCAATGGAAGCTACGTGCGCGGGAAAAAGTCTCAAAAAAACCTGCAGCCCCAGCCAGGCTAGGCCTTGACACCGGGACCACATGAGGTGTCCATATTCATCTATATCTCTCTTTTTTGTAACATTCGAGGCCGACTTGATCCAATCCGCCATCTCCGTATCGGGTGCTGGGTACGCTCCGGAAACTCATCGGATGGCTTTTTCTCCTTGATCAAGGGTTGGTGACGAGTAGGGCTCCGACCCTACAATCTAATCTGATTGTGGTAAGCTTCATGATAGTGGTGATAGGGGAATGTGTTGAGAGGTGAAGACGATACAGACCGCGAAAGCGATTGGGAATCCTCGCCGAAGTGGGGACTTTGTTACTCAATCTCAGCTCTGCAGACTCTACAGTGAGATGCGGAGGTTCATAAGGGACACCACTGACAGGTGTTGAAAATAGTCTCCCACTTAATTTGAAGAGGATTTCCGATCGCTTTAGCGGTTTGTATCGTCTTCATCTTGTGGATCCTAATTGATGGAAACCCGACCTAGCACATTGTATGCTGTTGATCGGCTCACGGTACGGAGGGAAGAATCATATAAATTTTTGATCATATTAAGGAAATAATGAGCCCTCAGTCAATCAGGTTGTAGAGCGAATTGATTCAAGTATTTATTTATTTATATTAACGTCATGCTAGCTCACAA